CCCCAAAACCCCAAAACCCCAAAACCCCAAAACCCCAAAACCCCAAAACCCCTATTTAAAATTTAAGTGTTGAAAAATGGCCCTTTGCTGAAGATACTTAGTCTAAATTCTCAATAATTCTTCTTGTAAAATCTGCAGTGTGATGGTTTCCGCCAATATCGGGGGTTCTGATCTTTTGTTCCTCCAAGGTTTTGAATACAGAGTTCTGGATTTGTTCAGCGAAGAATGGAAGTCCTAAGTGTCTCAACATCATTACTGCTGAGAGAATGAAGGCGGTGGGATTAGCTTGACCTGTAAAAGCCAATTCTTTTCCAGAGTGTCTAGCTCCTTGTTCAAAGACGGCATACTTTCTTCCAATGTTTGCTCCTGGAGCAATTCCTGCACCTCCTACAATACCTGCGATGATACTTCCGATAATGGATCCATATAAGTTAGGAAGAAGCATAATATCAAAGGCCTGGGGATTTGTTGCCAAATTCATGCAGGTGGCATCAACAATCATTTCTTCATACAAGATTGTTGGGTATCTTATGGAGATCTCCCTTGCTGCTTCCAAGAACTCTCCATCACAGAGCTTCATGATATTTGCCTTATGAACTACGGTGATCTTTTTCCTATTAGACAAGAGAGCATATTCAAATGCATACTCTGCAATTCTTAAGGAACTCTCACGAGTAATAACCTTGATACTTTCGATGACTCCTGGAAGAAGTTCATGCTCAATTGAGGCATACTCTCCTTCACTATTCTCTCTGATCAACACGATATCAATATCTTTATGTCTGGTGTTTACTCCTGGGATGGTGAATGCATGAACGATATAAGCGTATATTTCTAATGCTTTAGAAATCTCGTGATTGTTCCACATCAATGTATCATCGTTAGAGATGGGACCCTTGAGGATCACATCATTTTGGTGTAACTTATCCAAAGTCTGCTTTTCAATATTGATAGACATTTCCTTAGCTTCTACCATTGGAATGTTTTCAAATCTGACTGGAACCTGTGCTGCTTGAAAAATTTCTTGCACTGAATCTATACGAACATGTAAGAAATTTAGTCAAATAGGAATTAATGCCGCTCAAATCTTTTTAAAGTCTAAAAAGTATTTACCTGTGAGGTATGGGCCGACTCCTTCTCCATCAATTAGAGAAACTCTCTTTACATTTCCTTCTCCTGGTCTTTGAAGGAAAGTGGTGGACAATTTCTTCATCTTAGCAAAACTCCTTTTGGGAGTGGTCTATATAAAATATTACTAAATCTTCTCATGTAGAGACCCTTTGAGGTACCAATCTACCCCATAATGGTCTTGCCCATGCACCCCTATTTCTCCTCTAATGTCACGTACATGCTTTCCGTAAGTCCGAATCTTCCTGATCAAGTTATTCCTGAGACTAAACATGATTAAATCTGTTTTAAATTATATCAATTCCTAATCCCATAAAAGGGGTTTTGGGGTTTTGGGGTTTTGGGGTTTTGGGG